GGAGCGCCACCGCGCTTCCCAAGCGGCGCACTGTAGCAGTGCGCCACCGGGCCGGCCCATCTTTTTTTTTTTTAAAGTCATTAACAAAAATAGTTTCCTAGTTCCCCAGTGAAGGCCTAAAGGGTCTCAGGGGACCCTTTAGGGGACACAGGGAAAATGACCTACACTTTTCAGTGCCTGCTGAGGGCCGAGTGCTGTGCACACGGTCCTTGTCTTGTCTTTACAATCTCCCTGTGAAGTAGACAACGCCCACTTTACAGATAAGGAAACTGAGGAACGGGGGCATGAATGGCTGCCCGAGATCACAGCGGTGGGGAGTGCTGCGCGAGTCTGTCTTTCTGACCCTGCAGACCCTGCTCTTTCTGTTCCCTGTCACATGTCCAGGTGGTTCTGTGGCTGCTCCCCCGTGACCCCCACCCCATTTAGAAGGCCCAGCTCACACCATGGGGATACCCTCCTCCTGCCACTCTGTAGGTCACCCTAGTGAAAAAGCTTCTTTCTCGCCGTGTCTGAATCCTCATAGCTAGGGGCTCCTCAGGCCCAGACAGATGCCCTTCCTTTCAGACTCGGAGGCAGGTCACACCCAGGTCCTGCCTGGCCGAGGCAGCTGGAGACCAGGGTGAGCTGCAGGTCCACGCCCGGTAGGTGTAGGGCACAGTGTCCATTTAGAGTTGGCAACGTGCACACCTGTCCACTTACAAATTAAAGGTCAAAGATGCACCTGAACAAACCACTTCTGGAGCATTTAAGGAAGCAGTGCCTACGCATAAAGCAGGTATTGGAGAAGACAGCTCCTCTGGCATTAGCCTGTCCTAGACCGCCGGCCCCCTTGGGCAAGTGACCGACCACTCACTCTCCCCGCGCTTCCTCTGCACCCAGGCGCCACCACCCAGCTGTCCTGCCTCATCGCGCTGCTGCTGTGGAGACCTCACCCGGGCCAGCTGGCTGTGTTCTTCGTGTTTTCGGGCCTCTGGGGCGTGGCCGACGCCGTCTGGCAGACGCAGAACAACGGTGAGTGCCCATGCAGACCCAGGTCCTCCCCGGCCTCCCCGTGCGGAGGGCCCAGCAGCCGCAGCCCGCTAGCGTGGGGCCAGGAGACGGGCGTCCTGCTCGGAGCCCTCACTGCCACCCACGCCACGAAAGAGGCACCGTCCTTCCTGGGGTGGGCATCATCCAGCTCAGGCAAAGATGCGGCTCAGCCCTGGGCACGACTTTCCCCTTGTGATGAAGACTCCTCCGTAGTCCTGGCCGGCATGTGAAAGCGTTTCTGAGCAGAGCAATGTGCTCCCGGGCACCGGGTGCAGGGGTACAAGGGTCAACGGCACATTGAGTGCCTCTCGGTTGGGATGGGGAGGTAGGAGTGTCAACTGGAGGAGCGAGCGTGCAGGTCACTGCGGTCAGCTCCTGTGCGTGCTCGGGGCTGCGGGGACAGTTGTGAGACTTCTGGGAGTACCAGGCAGGGTGCT